ATTTCCTTAGTACGGACCATTTGTTGTAAATATGTCGGTAAATTACTAACATAAGTGTCTAAGCTTAATTTATTATAAACAATACTTAGTGCTCGCTTAACCTCTATGCTTTCACCAGATTGTTTTAGTTTCGACATGAGTAATGATTGATGTTGTAAAATACGATTACTAAAGCCAATAAGAGTTTCTGCTCTTGCATCAAAGACAAGGTGTATAAGATCTTGTTGTAAGGTAGGTAGATCACGTGGATCTCCAAATGTTTCGATCAATAGATTTCTAATCTGTTCCCAATTGTTGAGTTCGAGACGGGTAGAAACATTTGTTTGAGCTTGTCCCGTTAATTTGCTTTTGATTGCTCTTAAAATGAATTTATTTTGAATCTCGTTATTTTCCGTATAGTAAGATGTAACGAGTTCATCACAGGCGGCTAAAAAATCATTNAAATAGGCTATTTCAAAAGTCTATACACACTGCGGATATACATAAATCCGTGGAGGATATTCGGAGCTTTAAAGCTCTGTACCGGCCAAACTATCCATTTTTGAGCTTTGTGGCCATTGAGACAATTGGCCAGTATGATGAACTCTATCACATATCAAAAATTCAGCGAATTTGACCGGGACCCAATTTCCATAAGATTTGTGCGGGGTCCTTTTGCCAAAAAGTTTTTCTATTGTCCGGAATCACGCCTCCTAATTTTTGTAAAATATCTTTTTTCTTATCTTCCGGTATACCGCAACATTCTTCCTTTGCGTTGGGTCTTTCCATAGATTTTGTTGTCTTTTTGTTTAAAAAATCTAATTCTATCATTGGCGCATCATACTCGTTTCGATACTGGAAAAAAAAACCTACTGTTTTAATGATACTAGATAAAGAAAATTATACTTTACCATGATGGTTCGCTTGCCCCTTTCTACCTTTATATTAACCATGTCTGATAAGTATGGTCGCGGATTTAACTTGTTTACTTTATATAGAGAGGTGTGGTCTTTTCAATAGTAAAAATTGCTGAAATGCATTTCATGGACATCAGATTTTCCTTTGTTGGCTCGTTTTACTGCTGACACAAAGTCCCCAAAATCATAAGTTTTTCCTTGGTGTTTCAACGACAGTTCAATTTGATGGTGAAAATGGTCACAGCTCATAAAAGTATGACCCGGTTCGAAATAATAAAATTCAATAGATTTCGCTTCTATTTCATGGGAGTTGATAATATATACTAGGAATGTAAATAATGCCCAGTTTTTGTTCTGACTAGAGCAATTGTCTAGCCACACGATTAATTCTTTTTTGTCCTATTTCTTAACATAAAGATGTAAAATGTGCTGATTATGTCTTCTTTGGACCTTCCAGATACTGCTTCATGCCACAAGAGGCGTTACTTTAGATCGTTTACCTAAAGGTACAAAGCTTTCGTTGTAAACTACAATGCGCTTAGTGAACACTACCCTTTTGAAACAATCTATTCTTGGCAACATAATTACTTTTTGAAGGTCTGCAGAGACACAAATAACATCATCTGTTTCTTTTCTTTCAGACCAGCGTCTATATTCTTCTCTCGCTTTAGCTGCTCGTTTTATGTGTTTTAGCCAAGCTTGGCAATCATTACAATTTTCTTGTAAATTATCTTTTGTGTGATCTTTGTTGTGAAATTGGAACTCCTCACAACTTTCGCATTCTTCATATCCTAATCGCGTAAAACTAATGTTTTTTCCTTTTACGGCCTTACGATATAGATCATAGGAGCATTGAACATTAGGAAATTTTTCTAAAAAATCTTTATGCATGCTTGCAATTGTAACATCACTAGGTAAATAACGACGATTCGGAGTATGTTCCCGTCGATAGTGAGAAACGCAAGGATGGTAAGTTTATATGTGCCGATCTATTTCCTCCCGACTAATTTTATTTACTGATGGTTGCTTTCCGCGCCCGTCTCTGGAAGAGGTTCAATTTTTTCCTTACTAGTTTTCCCAAGTATCGAATTTACCACCCAGTCATTACTCTTTTTATAACCCAGCGTTATTAAAAAAAAGGTTTGCATACTCTATGTCGTTGTCGGCTTTCGTCACATAACGAGAAAATGTATGTATTTTTGCTTTTAGGCTCAACCGATGGTTTTTTAACGTCAACTCTGCTGGAATAATTTAGAATAAACGATCGTCATTCTTTGAAAGTTTAAATTCCAAAATTGTGAATTAATATTATTTCTCTGCATCCCTGTAATTTTTGATACGCACTTTCGCCTGCATTTGGCTACATCACAAGGTGGTAACACAGGATGTTGCTCTTTCAGAAGTTGCATTTTTTTATTTTTTCTTTGTTTTAAAGATTCAGCATATTTATTTCTTTTCCTTAGATGCCCTTTCTTCGTAAGAGGTTGTTCTTCTAACCAGAGAAATTCCATTAAACTTTCTACTTGAATAATAATAATTTATATACTTACGATTTTCATTTTCATTCCCTTTGTCTAATCCTTGATCATCATCATTTGATAGCCTTTCAATATTTTGTGCTTCCGGTAAGTTTATGTCGTCTTCATCAGATATTTCTGGCACATAATCTTGATCGAGTAAATTGTCAGCTTCAGTGTCTGATTGAATATTATCTATATGAGAAATTTCATTCAATTTATTGTCAATGTTGTTATTTAATTCAAAATGATTCATGACAATTAAATGTTCTGATATTGGCTCAATAGGAAAAGTTTCGTTTATAACTTCAATAATAGGTAACTGGTTTTCTGATATTGTTGCCATGGGAACAGTTTCGTTTATAATTTCAATAGGCAACTGGTTTATATCGAATTCTTGATTCAAGTCATCGTTGCTGAAGAAGTAGTTGCTAGTCGAACTGTTAAGAGTTTCGACAGTCGTCTTTTCAACATTACAACACATCTCAACCATTTACTTTCCTCGACTATAGTTCCTACTGTCCATTCTGGCCTAATTAGAATTCAAATTGAAATTAGTTTTTATCGATAATTATTAATATTGCAAAACGAAACTTGTTTGAACGTAACCTCACTTTATTAAGAATTGATTTTGATAAACTAAATCATTGTATGTAAAATCAGTTTACTTACTTTTTGTTGTATGACTCAAATGAGTAACACAAAAATATATGTTAGTCCAGAAACTAAAAACTGAATTTACAACACTACAATTTGAACAACTAACTGCAGAGTAACAACTTGCGGCGTGAACAATTTCACCAAAATATGTTAATTGCTTAGCAAGAACCCAGTAACTTATAGTTACTAAGCGAAAACACGGCAATTTATTAAAAATACTGTGTTTTTACGTATGACACTTTAGGTACTGTGTTTCTGCTTAGCAGACGTAGATATTTTTCTATTTTACGGGGTTTTGTGAATTGGATTTTTCATGTGTAGAGTTATTTTACCATGTTTTTACTCAGCAGGGTCATAGAATAACGCTTCATGACTGCTAAAATGGAATTAACTCATTTTGTTAAATTTTTTAAGTTACTGTGTTTTTGCTTATGACGGCATCATACATTTTAACGTATTGTGGTCTTAATGAAGCAATAGCATATGAGACTGTTTGCACTATTCTACTAGCCGAACTTTTTGACACACCCATGAAATCTCCTGCAGAAATCAACATGATACCAGTTGCATAAAAACGTAAGGCTAACAATAGTTGCACTTTTGATTATATGCATCCACATCTAAAATTTATAAAAATAAATAATTTCAGAAAATCCTGAAAGGTTATACAAATATTTCTTCATCTTCTGAAGAACTAGAGATTCTCAACTTTTTTATCTCAAATAACTACAACCACGTATAATGTGTGCTACAACTACTCAAATGGCTATCAGGTTATCAAAATATACCGGCTGTAAGAAATTAAACTTACTGCTCTATTGAACAACTTGGTACCATATTCCTGAATTTCCACCTCCAAGCATTCCATGGTACTTATTGGAATCTCAAATAAATTCAGAAAATTGTCATCTTCCTCGTAAATCGGAGCATTTCTTTCTTTAATTACATTTTGTAAACCCTCATATAATTGGAGAATGTTAGCCCTTATTAAAGTCAATTTTTTAAAAATTTCAGACAAAATATTCTGAAAGAAAAATATTTTTAAAACGTTAATATTTGTATAAACACATTAATAATGAAGATTTTTCATTTTCTTTAGTTCCAAAACAACAAGTAACAAAAAAATAATATCCAAAGGAAATTCTTCTTAGTAGCCCACTAAGCAAAAAACCTCTGCAAGTAGTGTTAAATAAGTTTACTCAAGAATTAGAACCTCGCTTGTGACTTCTTGTGCGAAGCTTATTAACCTCCAACAGAGGCACAAATGTCAGCCACAGATCACATACTATATATGACTTGTAAACCTACTGAAATACTGCTAACACACTAGAATTTAAATAGGTTAAAAGTTACTTCTTGCGCACATCGCCCTGGTAAATTTTTTAATGCTTACATTGTAGTGATATATAATACTTCGCTATAATTTTTTTTTAGCGATTCTTTGTTGTGATGTAAAATATATACAATTGTTATGAAATTTCGCAGTGTAAATGTTAATTCTTATAGTAATAAATTTGCAATTAATAATATTAATACACTTTAGTAAAAATAGGTAGTTACCCCGTGAGTCCAGAGGATATCACATACAGTTATCTTAAAGATAACTGTACACTACTTCTGCATGATGTCGTAACTTTATCGTTCTATAGGGTGAAAATAAGAAAAAAATTTACCTAAAAATAACATCATAGATTCATTCCACACCTTTTAGAAATTTCAATATTTTTGAAAGTTTTTCATAATCATCCTTAAAATATTAAGATTTCAAGAAAATGTCAAATATAAATTTATACTAATTATTGTTGTGGTTAAACTCGCTCACATTACAAACATCCAAGGACATCATTTCACTTATAAGAAAATAAAATGATTACATAAAACAGATAATGCAAATTTAGGAGCGTTTTTATAAAAAAAAAATCACAAATATTTTAAAGGAAAAATATATTCATATACAGAGTGACCCATTAGTGTAACAAAGTTCAGCTCACTTACGGTTAACCTAATAAACAAGTGTTTTTAAAAAAAGTTTGCACCAGATCAAATTTCTCACATTTTAGATTATATAGGATGCTCCATAACGTTATTATTTAAAGTGGAGCACCCTGTACATTATATTGAATTTACATCTTTTCTTGGATTTAAAGACCACTTTGATAAGTATATAATGAATCTAAAAGTCAAATAAGTTTGCTGTTGTTGAAATAAAATAAAAGAAAGACGTTTACTGCCTTCAAAGCTATCAAATACAAAAATTTTTCCATATCCGTAAAATATAAATATATATCCGATCAGGTTAACGGCATAAATTAAGGGAATGTCAACCAGCCGCTTACGTCATAAGTCTAAGTTAACGGCAGCCCTTAAACATCTAAAGTTGGAAGTATATTATTTTTTTCCCCTTTACTTTCCTCCCTTATTCTTCTTTGCTTCGAATTTCGTAGCCAATCCTTGACATGGACATCAAAATCCTTCTTAGATATTTCAAACTTTTTATAAACAGCATCTACAAAGAGATACAAGTTGACTTGAAATTTTATACCAAGAAACTATTAAAGTACTACATTTTAAGAATAGATTTATAAAGTATATACTGGAATTTGAAGTGCTTAATAAAATGTTAGAGTATTGCATCACGAGAGACTTAGCTTAATGGGAGATAGAGAATGCCTAGTATAACCAGAATCGCTATTAGAAATACCAGTTATGACATAAAAAAATTAACTGTTACTTACGGTACTCCTGTCCAGGAACACAATTCACCCAGNCCAAACCAATTCAGTAAAGACCTCGATAAAGACACGTGGATACATCTTACAAAAAAATCGATACAAAACGAAACGGCACAAATATCTCCAATACCGTTAGAGATAGATATAGGGAACCTATACATAGTTTGAAAGAGTTTTAAATTTCCCAACTCCCAAAGTAAAAATATACTGGGCGTTCCATTTAAAATAACCAAGTTATTGCTGTTTAAAGTTGAGAGAAGTATTCGGCAGTTCTTTGAACACTCTGTATAATACTATGTGACAACAAATATAACAATTTATAACTTCAAGGATCTAAAATAGACCCTCAAAGCTGCTTCCTTAAAATTATTTTTTTATTGCTAATATTAAATTTCTACGCCATGCTTGCTTTTTCACT